GGTTAATTTGTGTATAACGAGGGTACAAGTTTTTAGTTGACTGTTCATCAAATCCTTAAACTCATTGGAAGTGTTTCCTCCGTGATCCTTCGTTGGCATCTCAAAAAGAAAAGTGTTCATCTTCTACCACTAAATCTCTCAAACAATCAAGAATATCAAACATCTTGTCATCTTCTATAGTATCGTTACACTCTCTAATTAAATGATCATGGACCGAACTTCTGTCCTTTACAAATTGATCTAAATTTGGAGGGTCTCTGTGATACCTATCGACTATAAGTAGGAGATATCTATTGGTGAATAAATATTGCTCCATTACATCCAATAACTGCCAGATTACATTATCGAATTTTTTGCATGACATCTCGTTCTTCTGGACTGGTTAACATGACATTTTGCAACTTCTAAGAATTGTGAAACTTCTTCTATATACTCTCTTAAAAACCTATCTTTGATTTTAATTCAATCCTTATTTATTTTCCAACTATACTTTTCAAATGAAGTAGCAATTATGATGGAATGGATTGTAAAGTTCAATCCTGTAAGAATTCGACAAAAAGTTATATTAACTTTGTCATAAAGTTATATCCATTTTCCAAAGTATATTTTGTCAATCTTTAGACTATCTCAAGGCTTAAGATTAATATGTACCAGAGTTATTTGGTGGCTAATTAAGTTTAGCATTCTTAAACAATACATAGATAACCTAAAAACTCAATGTAACTTTGTAATTTCAATCTAAGCACACATATCAAATGTAAGCTCAGCCAAGTCAAACCCATGAAACTTAAAGATCCTTATCCCGAATGCCCTTTCCACAATTCAAGTACAATTAGACATTTATTATTCAAATTGAAATTAGTTATTATTTTAATAAAATTAAATTGCAAAAGTTCTTAATAATGCCCAATATACTTTTTTAAATTGTTCTAGGATTAAGATACATGTAACTAAACTTGAAGCAATTTCTAAACAAACTTAGACCGTCACTACAGCATTATCATGCATTGTTAAGACTTGTTTTTTTTAATACTTTTTCTTATATCCATGAGTGGCCGAGGCAACTTACACGTACCTCGACTAATCTCACTGGACAATCACCTGACTCATCAACATTTAGTGTCGGGAAACACATAGGAATTACTGTTTTTTAATACTAATAACTTAACAAGAAAATTTGAACTTCTTTCAACAATTATTTCTCAACATCTAACAATTATTTTTCAAAATTTTCAATACCCCCACAACTACAACGCAATCCAAATACTTCTCATCAAGCAATTGTTGTAAAATTAATGGTCCTGGATAATTTTCTCTTCCATTAGAATATCCAAACACACAGCACAATATGAAAATAAGGAAACAAATATAAAACACAAGAATACGACATAACAAAAATTATACTAGTTCATCAACTAAGTGCTACGTCTAGTCTTCCCCTCAAATTTGGTAAAACACAATTACTTAGGTACATGAATGAAAAAATTCAACAACGGTGTCCCCTCATCTTGACAACCCCGTCAAGGCTCAGTTCTAACTGCTCTGTCAACGAACTGATCCACACTGCTCGGCTCTCCCCAAGCTTTGTCTGATTTCTGCCCTGAGATTGGACAGCTTTATGTGGTCTTATCCCCCCAGACTTAGAGACATAGCCACATACTCCCACTTGATCTAAGTGGTTCCCGCTGCTTCTTTCTTCCATCAAACCCACTGCCACCCAAGCGTGTCGCCACACTAGAAACAGAACTAGTACCCTTCGATGCACT